GTCTGTGAGGCTAGGGCAGACATGACACAGCTGGTCCGGTCAGTTTAGGTCCTGCCTAATCTTCATGCTGTCTCCTACTCTTACTGTTTTGTAAATTTAGCTCCCACCCTGAAGATGCCTATCTTGAGTAATTTAGGTGGATTGATTTAGGAGATTAACTTTTGAATTGAAATGTCATTTTGGATTGGCAGGGCATGTGGCTCATGCATATAATTCTAGCACTCTGGGAAGCTGTGAGAGAGGACACCTGAGAAGGGTGAGGTCAGGGAAAACAGGTCTTCTCAAGGAGACCACAAATATACACCTGCGGGGTCCTCTCCATGGTGACTCAGCTCTTGGGAATTTGTAGACTTAACTTCCTGGAACTTGGATATTTCCACTTCTGTGAAATCCTCTAGTTCTGTGGGGGCTGGAACAGCATCTCCTGCTTGATTCAAACTGACCAATGAAAAAGGTACCTGTGGGTTGGAACTTTTTGACTAGAGATAAAAAGGGAAAGACCAAGCCAGTTGGGGAGCCGTTTCGAATTCTTCTATGGCATAATAAATAAAACCCTTCCTCTTATAAACTTGGTGTTTGGATGCTCTTCTCTCCATTGGGCCTCATCTTCCTGCAACAGCTGAGGTGGGTGGATTGCTTGAGCTCAGGAGTTTGAGACCAGCCTGAGCAAGAGCAAGACCCTACTCTACTAAAAATAGAAAAACTGAAGCAAGATGATCACCTGAGCCCAACAGCTTGAGATTTATGTGAGCTATGATGTCATAGCACTCTACTCAGGGTGCCAGAGTGAGATTCTGTCTCAAAAAAAAAAAAAAAAAATGTTGTTTTGGTTCATGAGTTATACTGAGTACTATACTGTTTACTATGGGTCATGGGTTCTGCCAATTATTGTTTCTTCTTTGAACTTAAATGTATAGAACTGTAATGTTGGAAATGGAAGATCAGAACAGTTTTAGACAGGCTACTTTCACTGTTCTCCAGAATGCCAACCTTCTGACAAATAAACTTTGGTAGATCTATCCCGTCTCTGCATTTTGGCTGACAGTGACAGGTGACCAGACCCTCTTTGTCTGGTAACATGAGCTAGTGCAAGACCCCTGTCTCTACTAAAAGTAGAAGTAGCTGGGCACTGGGGTGGGCACTTGTAGGCACAGCTACTCGGAAGGCTGAGGCAGTGATACAGTGTTCTCCCATTCACGGCTGGACAAAGGGCCCTCATTTTCTGTGGATTAAGTACACAGACTTTTCTCCAAACTGCACTCTGACAGGAGACAAGCAATTTTTCTAGTAACCTGGGTTTCTTGCAGCTTTTGTCCAGAGCAGAAGACATTTATTAACATCCTTATTCATTTGTTAATACATTCATTCTCTAATCAACCCTCACAACAATGTTTTCTGTCAACCCCTCACCAAATGTAATTCTTACTCTTAAACCCTCCCCCCACTTGCTTACTGTATATAAACTCCCAAACCAAAGACCCACATGAGTCTTCCCTTTTGCAAATTTTCCCCCTTCCACTACTGGAGGCTTTTTTGCCCTACTCTCTATGTGCTTCTCTATAAAATAAACTATGCCATGTCACTTACTCACATGGTTTAGGATATCATCCTTTTTTCTTTTCTTTTTTTTTTTTTTTTTTTGAGGCAGAATCTTACTTTGTCACCCTCACTAGAGTGCTGTGGCATCACAACTCACAGCAACCTCAAACTCTTGGGCAATTCTCTTGCCTCAGCCTCCCAAGTAGCTGGGACTATAGGTGCCTGCCACAGTGCCCAGTTCTTTTTAGAGATGGTTCTCGCTCTGGCTTAGGCTGGTCTCAAACTCATAAGCTCAGACAATTCACCAGCCTCAGCCTCCCAGATTGCTAGGATTACAGGAGTCCGCCACTGTGCCCAGCCTGAGATCTCATTCTTGAATCTCTAAGACTAAAGACTGAAAAAAAAAAAAAAGAAAAGAAAAAACCCAGGTTATAAGGAAGCTGTTCAAAACTCACTCAGGAGCATCCAAAATGTGTCTCCCTTTGCTATTTCTCAAAAGCTTTAGTACGTAAAGTTTTAATTTGCTTAAACTGAGGAACTAGTAAGATTTAACCATAGCCTAGTCATGAACTTGAAAAGGCAAGGTTCAATTAGCCATCAATAAACCACAAGCAGATTGAGTTTGGTGCTGGACATGTGTTGTTTTGGCAGCCCAGTGCCTTATCCTATGTGTCAGGGAAGCCCACCCCACCACACAGAACCCTCTCTATGGGATAGGCCCACACCCCAGCTTTTTCCTCAGCTGCCTCCAGTAGTTGCCTCCAGGATTACCCCTCAGATTTGCATATGCAAAGACAGTTGTCTTATTTTTTAACAACTTTCAATTTCACTGTGAACTAAAGACCATACCTGGCCTATGTCTCCCAGTCCTTATTCCAGCGTTAAGAGTATTTTTTAAGGCTTGGCACCTGTGGCTCAAGTGGCTAAGGCGCCAGCCACATGCACCTAAGGTGGCGGGTTCGAATCCAGCATGGGCCCGCCAAAACAACAATGACGGCTGCAACCCCCCCCCAAAAAAAAACAAGTAGCTGGGTGTTGTGGCAGGTGCCTGTGGTCCCAGCTACTTGGGAGGCTGAGGCAGGAGACTCACATGAGCTTGGGAGTTGGAGGTTGCTGTGAGCTGTGATGCCAAAGCACTCTACCCAGGGGGATAGCTTAAGGCTCTGTCTCAAAAAAAAAAAGAAAAACAATTGGCACTAATGTACAAACAATTCCAACTTATTGGAAGGCCAAGGAGAGAAGATAGATTTGCCAGGGGATGGTTTGAGTTGGGTTAGGGAGGGCAAATAAGAAAAAGTTCAGAAAGCATTTCTTTATGTATATACATTGTATAGATATATATATATATGTATGTGTATATATATATATGTTCATTTATTTCATCTTTCTTTTTCCTCAGGAGTAAAGGGATCACTGGGTCAGTTGAGAACAGGGTCAGATCAGGAGGGTGAGGTCAGTTCTGGGATTTCTGTGGTCTCATAATACGTCTTTGAGTCAGAATAGCTCTTCCTCTTCAAGGCCTCTATTAGCTGCTGTAGGCGCTTGGCAAAAGAAAGTGCTTGAGGAGGTTTGGTGTGAGATGTGGGGGGGGGTGGGGGTGCAGATTGTCGGGGTGGAGGTGGCTGAGGCGGGCGCTGGAAATACCAAGGAGGGTGAGCAGAAGCAGGTCGGAGGGAGGGGGGTCGCACTGGGAATGGGTGGCTTGTGGCAGGGGGAGGAGTAGCTGGCTGAATCATATGCAAGGCGTTAGAACCAATCTTGGAAGCGATCCAGTTCAAGTAGGACCAGGTAGCCGTGTAGATTCCAGGGCGCTTAGCGCGGGCACAGCCTACTCCCCAGCTTGTGATTCCCACGACCACGTAGGCACTTTCCTCGCTGTCTTTGCACATGAGAGGCCCACCGCTGTCCCCCTGCCCAGAAGGACACAGAGGTCACTGCCTGCCCGAGCCACTCTTTCCCTACCCAGAAGGATCAGAGGGCTCTGGGAGGACACTCTCCATAGTCACATGGTTTCCTGTCACCATAAACACAAGTGTTTGAGGTACAGTGGTGCCAATAGCTCAGCTGGGATGTGAGAAGGGCATGGATGATCCTGGTTTCCTTGCACTATGCCCATGCATGTGGCTTTACCTGCATGCATGGCACATGTATATAAGGAGCTTTAGATGATCTGTATTCTGGAGAAGAGAGGTAAATATTCTTTTCAGGGACGGGTTTTGGATGATACGTTCTATGTGTTAAGGTTGAGATATAATGCTGTGGTGGTTGGTTCCTTGTAGGGACAGCTTGTAGGTGTCACCTGCCACCTTCATTGTGACTGTAGATGCTGGAGGGACCATGGCAGGAGTCATGAGCACAGGACCCCAGCGGTCTCCCCATGAGACAGTGGAATGGTGTTGTCAGGAATCTGGGGCGTCCTAGAGGGACCAGAAGGAAGGTTACCTGGCAGGTGTCAATCTTGCCTTCGGGATACCCTGCGCATACATTGGTTGACTGAACGCGCCCATTGTACCACTGGGTCGAGTTGCACAAGTCGAGGTCGATGAGATCCACACGTGCTTCCATCAGTATAGGTGATGGCCTAGGGGCTACATCCAGGCCACTCAGTGGTCAGTGATCACAGAAGACATGAAAGAAAGCCCAGCCTCCACCCTCACTGAACCCCATCCTCTATAATGTTCCAGTTACACCTCCAATCCCTCCAGTCATGCCTTGACCTCTCCTGATACTTCCCAAAGGGAAGAAAGTACACTTCAGAAAGAGCAGACAAGAGATGGGATGGAGGTAGAGATCCAAATGAATGGAGGAGGAGAGAGGGAGAGAGGAAGGAAGGGTTGAGGTATGTACACAAGTGGGCAGAGTGAGTGGATGAAGGATGGGGCACAAAATAATGATAGATGAGGGATGATGCTGCAAGTGCTGAGCACTCACTATGTGCCACATGGTCCTGTGGCTCCCACTTTGAATCAGGAGGTAGAAACATTACCCACCCATGTCACAGTGGGGAAGTGTGGGCAAGGCTAGGATCTGGGCTTTAGAATCATTCCTCTCGAGACTCAAGCCTGAGACATCCTTTCATTCCCCACAGTCCAGCCATACAGCAGTCTCCCTGCCTCTTGTTTCCCATCAGGACTCCTCTGCTCAGCTGTGATCAGGCTTGATGAAGTTGGACTAATGAGCCCCTCCCTGTGCCCCAGATCCATTCTGAGGAGTTCATGGAAAGGGAGAGCTATGGCAGTGCCTCACATGGCAGGCCTGGGAGGGCCACAGGCAATTGAAATAACCCTTGAAGCAGATTCAGAACTTCCTTGACAGCCCTAGACAGTCTACCAGAACCTCTGGGTGAAGAAAGGCCCAGGCTACTGCAGCTCACATGGCCAGTACCACATCTAGCTAAAGCAGAGCCAAGACAAGTCAGCTGCCCCTCTTCATCAGGTGATCCTTCAGGGAGAAGGGTCCCCAGTAGCAACAGCTGCGCTGGCCTGACCACAGCATCACCCCCAGACCTAGAACACCGCTACATGAGACAAGATGGCAAGACAGGAAACTCAGAGTGGCACGAGTAGGGCTGAGCACCCTGTAGGCATTTGGCAAATGGCAGCTGCAGGTATGTTTGCTGGGCTTTGGTTCTGTTTTTCAATCCCTTTAGCCCCCACCTTTTCTTACCATCCAAGCAGCAGTGAGAGTTTTGTACATGCACTGCCCTTGGGGTAGGGTGACACTGAGAAACAATAGTAGCAATCTTAGCTTGCTAGCCATTTGGATGACTTTTAAAATCTATAGCAGAGCCCATACTCTTGAAAGCCAAAGGTTTCATTGTGAAGAGCCAGGTGTCCTGAAACAGAAAAGGGTTTTCTCAATCCCAACACATTGGCTTTAAATAACAAATGCTAAAAAGCCTGCAGGAACTCAAAATTCAATGGAAAAGAAGCAATACACAAGAATAGTTTTTTGATCCCCAAGCAGATGAGTTCAAGAAAGAGGTAAAACAAGGAAAGTCTTAAGGAGTCATAGGAATTTGGAGCCTGGAGATTTCTCTAAAACATGAGTTTAGCAGTGGGGTATGTGTTTGCAAAAAAAATGAAAGATATGCCATTAAGTTTAGGGCAATCCCAGGACAGAAAAGGTCTTGCATGACATGTAGGGTGCAACTGGGAGCCTATAGTCCTCCTGAGCAATAGGATTCTAAGGTAGTAGGGACCATGAGATCAGCCTTCCAGGGACTATAGAAACCCCCAAGATCTGTGGACATGGTCGGATAGGTGGACAGAAGAACACATGTTCTCACTCTGAGGCTGTGGTAGAGCCAAGGACATCAGCAGCTGAGGTAGAGGTTGGCATCCCAGGTCAAGAAGAAATGGTCACATGCAAGCAAAGGCCAATGAGAACAAAGACAGCTAAGATGAGTCTCCTTCCTCTGAGGGACAGGAAAAGTGACAAACTTGTCAGAAACTTAGATCAACCTCTGGGAAAAGGAAATGAGAGTTAAGGGAAGAATCCTGAAACTCAGGGCTGAGTTTTAAATTCCAAATGACTAAATTACCTTGATTGGGAAGCCTAAATTTTCCATTATCAAGGAAAAGAAGAGATTGAGGGTTAATTTCAGTCCCATCTTTGCAACTCTACCATAACTGGATAGAAGTTCACACAACTTCTTATAGAAAACTGAAAGCATAGGTCATGCACAGAAAACAGTCTTGTCCTACTGGCAAAACCCCTGTGCTATATCCCTGGAGTTAGCAATAATAGTTGTTCCAGGTCACACTCTGCAAACCTGGTCTGGTGTGGAAGAGGTGTCCCTACTCACCTACTGCTCATCTGCTGTCAAGTGGGCTAGGTCATGTTGGATGGTCCAGAAATCTCCTGGGATTCAGGGAAGAGGCAGATAGCTTGATCAAGGACAGAGAAAAAGGCAGCTACAAGGCTGACCACAGTGGCTCATGCCTGTAATCCCAACAATCTGGGAGGAAGAGGAGGGTGAATCACTTAAGCCTAGGTGTTTAAGGTTGCTGTGAGCTGACACCATGGCACTCTAGTCAGGGTGATAGAGTGATAGTGTTGCAAAAGAAAGAAGAGGAGCTACACAGATTTTGAATGGAACAGGATCTGTCGGACAGCTCCAAGGATCCTGAAATGCTAGAATACGCATGACCTGCAGAAACCCCAACCAACAATGGTCCCCCTCCCAGTCTGCAGAGGAAACATCAGGTAACTCAGATGAGCAGGATGGATTTGGGAGCAGTGACCTGAGAGGCTGCTGCCAACAATGATAAAGGCAATAATCTAGCCTTTCCATCTACAGATGTATAAACTGAGGACCAGAGAGGGCAACATACTCCCCACGGCCACAAAACCACATCTAGAGCTCTTCTCCAAACACCATTTCAAGGGAGTTCACCCAAATTCCAGGATCCAGCAGTAGGGGATCCAAGTGCCACATAAGGCACAGCCTTGACCTAATTGTGAACAGTACTGTGTTCTGCTTGTGCCTGCACCCAGACTTTCCTTGGGTAGCCAGACGAGTCCCCCGCCATGTGACCTGAGACAGGTGCTCAGCTCTGCTCAATCTCCTTTTCCTATAGCAACAGACTATGAGGAGGACTCTAACTTGCTCTGCGAGGCCTCAACATGCTGTACCTTAAAGACCACCAGCAGAGTGGCCACCAGTGTCCCCATGGGGAACCCCTCCTGTACTCACCGTTTTCTTTTATGTATCCCCAGCCAGCCACCCAGCAGATCTGGGGGCCTCTGGGCAGGCCTGCTTTAAACTGGGGCAGGCAGCCCGGCCCAATGTAGTGCCCACATGAAACAGGAGGGGTGATCTTCAAGAGAGCAATGTCGTTTCCCTCTGTCAGAGGGTTGTACTTTTCATGAATGATGATTTTCTCAACATATCTCTCCTGCAGAGGCGCCTTCACTGGCTTATCGGTCCCATATGCAATTTCCTTTGCTCCAAAAACCAGTCTCCAGTCATACACTTTACTGTGGGCACAAAAGTAAGCCAGGTCATTCTCACTTATGGACTGACTGGTTAGAAAACCCTGGTGATAGTTACCATCAGAGCCTTCCACCAGCAAGGTTCTGGGTCTCCTCCCCACCCCTGAGTCTGGCTGCACTTGGGTGGGGTCCCAGGCACTAGGGAGTATTCCTTTCTGAGAAGTACTGCTCTGAAGCCCACCCTCATTGCGATCCCACACGTACTTTTTGCTGTCGAAGCAGTGAGCAGCAGTAAGCACCCAGCGTGCGTTCAGCAAGCTGCCTCCACATGCGTGGTACCTGCGGCTATTGTACGTGACGATCTGGAGGCTCACCATCCAGGGCCAGGCCCCACGCTGTGCAGCCTGCCCTCCAACAAGTCGTATACCATTTTGTGAGTTTTGCCTGAAGCGTAACCCACAGGGACCACTGAGGAGAGACCAGGGCATAGTTCAAACCAAGTATAGGCAGAGCTTGTCCTTGTAACTCCACAACCAGGGGAGGCTGAGACATGGGACTGGGATAGTGGAAGCAACCAGAGCTATATGGGAAGCCACAGGCTCCCAGAAATGGTCTGGGGTGTTATGATTTCACAGGCCTTGCAGATGTAGTCACAAGGGAGGAAAGAGGAGGCCTTTCCCTAGGTGGAGCAGGAGGCCAGGGTGGGGGCCTGGGAATAGAGTGTGATGGTCTAGGGTCTACAGAGCCTATCTTAGGTGGTAGACTCAGAAGAGCCAGTTGACCAAAAGGGTCTTGGGGCTGCAAGGTTGGGTTGGACAGGAACAAAAGGAGAGAAAGGTGTGTGGACCATGGGTCCAGAGGTGAAAACACTGGGAACTATGTCACAGATGGGAGGCCCCACATAGTTTAGGAGTTGTTGATGCTGTAGGATACCCTGGGGTGAGACCGTTTACAGGTAGATGGAGGTGCAAGAAGTGTGACAAGGTGATGTCTTGTGTCCACTGGGGGCAACCACAGGTTGGAACATCTCAGTTGTCCATGACAGGACAGGACTCCTAACAATCAGGTTCTGATGTCTGAGAGGCAGTGTACTTGGGGAAGTATGGAAGCCCTAGGAGCTGAGGGGGTCTGTCTCAGGAGGAAACTATGAACAGCTTGTAGCTCAGATTCTAGGAGCAGGGAGGGTTTGAGCTGAGGTGTGTGGGTCGCCGGAGTTGTGAGACACACGGACTTCAAAGGCCCAAGCTCAGCCTTCTTCTCCTGAGCCCTGGACAGAGGGAGTCTGGGTGGGACCTATCACTTAGACAATACCCTTCCCCTCACTGAGGTGCCCCTGACACTTACTCACACGTGCTGTTATCCTTGGCGACCACGGATACTGCCAAGACCAGCAGAACGGCAGTTGGGAGCATCTCTCCCATACTCCTGCCCCTGCCTGGCCTGCAAGCCCAGTGACCTCACAGAGCTCCGTGGCCTCCTGGCCAATCAGCAGGTGACCCACCGACCCCCAGCAGTCAGGTCAGGCAGGAGTCCTTTGGTTTAACTGGTTCATGCCAAGTAACTTCCTAACCCACTTCCCAGGATGGTGGGAGGCTTCTATGCAGCATAATTGCCCTCAACCCAAGGCCAGGGTCTTCATTCCCAATTATTTTTTTAAGGGTCCCACAAATCCAAGATTCTGCTTGTGTGTGGAGTCAGGGCCTGTCCCTCATGCAAGCTGTGACCACTGCAGTCTCAAGGATTAAGGAGCAGCCCAGCCCTTCTGTGACAAGATAGTAAAACACATCCGTCAGTGGTTAAAAGGCGTCAGATTCAGAAGAGTAAAAGATCCTTAGCATTTGGTGGGGCAAACTGTCTTTCTCTCTGCCAAGTGCATGCTACATGAATACTCTTCAGAGAGCCCTCTTGTCCATTATTGAATATTGTGCAGTCTCTTATTTCCTGCCTGAGTATCTCCAGGTCTCCTTTCTATGACCTGTGTGCAGCAAGGTGTTTTTTTCTATACTAGAATGTCAAGAGTTTTCATCACAGCTGCCTGAGTGCATTTGACCAGAGTGTACTAATGCTCACCACACATACCTGAATGTTAAAATATTTCACCTCCCCAGCAAGAGTGTCAAGAGGTCACCTTTCTACCTGCATGAGGTCAGTCTTATCTCAACTGAGTGTAAGGTCTCAGCCAGCCTACCTGAGGATTAAGAGGTTGAATCTCACCTATGCGAGTATCACAAAATCCTTCTTTTCTACTGGCATATCAGGACAGCTCCTCACTTCCTCCTGAGTGTTGAGTCTTCCTATATTATGAGATGATCTTGATTTCTCTGAGTATCTTCTCTAACTGAATGCCATATTTTCTCATCTCACTTTCAGTAAGTCACATCCCCCTCAACAAGATATCCAGTAGGTCTCATATATTTCACCTGAGGTTTCTTCCCTCTGAATTTGGAGACATCTCTTTTCATCCATCTGAGGGATGGAGGCCTCATCTCTTCCACCCAGTTCACCTTGTCGCATCTTCTCGACCTGAGAATCAAGATGTCTTATATTCTACCTGAATTTCAGGAGGTCGTATCTCACCTGTATCCTGAAGTTCTCATTCCCCCATGTGACTGCCAGAATCTATCCTTTACTTGAATATAGTCTTATCTCTCTGCCTGAATGGCATGAGCTATAATCTTCTCTGCCAGAGTAGAGGGTGTCCAAATTTCTCATCTCATCTCCCTGAAGGTCTGAAGGTTTTTCTCCCTCCTTCTTGGTTGCCTTGAGGTCTCAACTCCCCTCCCTTAGGGTCATGAAATCTCATATCTCCTATTGGGGTGCCAGAAGGTCTTATCTCCCACACCAAAATGTCATGGCACTTTACCTCCTCCATCTGAGTGTCGGGAGATCTTGTCTATACCTGATAGGCCTCATCTCTTTGGTTATATGTCTAGAGCTTCTCCTTCTTTTAAGTGACCATGAGATCTCATCTTCTTCTACTTGAGTGTAAAATATGTCATCTCTCCTATTTTTTATTTTGAGATAGCATCTTACTACTTCACCCTCTAGAGTGCTGTGACATCACAGTTCCCAGCAACCTCAAACTCTTGGGCTTAAGCGATTCTCTTGCCTCAGCCTCCCAAGTAGCTGGGACTACAGGCACCCACCACAATGCCCAGCTATTTTTTGTTGCAGTTGTCATTATTTAGCTGGCCCAGGCTGGGGTTTGAATCTGGCAGCTTTGGTGTATGTGGCTGGCGCCATAACCACTGCGCTATGGGCACCAAGCCTAAAACTTTTTTGTTGTTGTTGCAGTTTGGCTGGGGCCGCGTTTGAACCCGCCACCCTCGGTATATGGGGCCAGTGCCCTACTCACTGAGCCACAGGCACAGCCCACATTTTTTTTTTTTTTAATAATTGTTGGGGATTCATTGCAGGTACAAAGATCCAGGTTATACTAATTGCATTTGTCAGGCAAAATCCCTCTTATAATGTGGTCCTCCCACAAAAGGTGTGCCAAACACCATGACCCCCCAGACCCCTCCCTCCCTCCCTCTCTCTGCTCCATCTCACTTATTTGAATGTCACAAAGACCTCTCCAACTTGTGTGTCAGGCATTCCCATCTCTTGCCTTATTGTCAGGACATCTCACTTCCCCTATAGAGAGGAATGTACAATGTCTCATCTCATGTACCTAATTATAGAGAACTATGGTGTTCTCTACATGAATGTCCCCAAATCTATTCTCCCTGCAGCTTGGAAGATCTCTTTTATTACTGAGCCGGGACATCTCATCTTTGTTTACCAGCAAGAGACAAGACCTGAATTTTCCTATCTGAATGGCAGGATGATTTAACTCCCTCCCCTGAGCATTGAGATGTATGATTTCCCTTCCTGCTAAGTAAGAAGCTTTATTTGCCCTTAATGAATATGAGATTATAATAATTTTAACTATCTGAGTACCATGAGATTACTATCTCTGCTTCATGCATGTCAGGAGGTCTCCTCTCTTAGAGCTGGATGACAGGAGTGCTCGTTTCCTCTATCTGAGTATAAGGATTTGTCTCCCCAAGTCAGTTGCAGGGGTCTCAGATACTTTATCTGAGTATTAGGAGCTCTTACCTCCCACATCTGTGTCACAAGGATGCATTTCTCCAATCTATCAGGAGGATTCTTCTTTATTAAGTGTGTGAGTTCTGTCTTTTTCAAACTTTATGTCAGGTGGTCTCACCTCCTTTATCTGAACGTCAGAAGGTCTTATTTTACCAACCTGAGTATTAACAGGTTTCAGCTCAATTATTGAGTGTTAGGAAGCCTCACTTATTTTGAGTGTCAGCTTGTGCCTGATACATAACCAAAAATACTTTGAAAATATAGTTCAAGAAATGACAATAAGAATTCAAGAAGTGATAGTAAAGTGAATTCAAGAAGTATTTAAAATTTTGACAGTTAAATATTAAAGTGTTTTAAAAGGATTTTGATGGGCATAAAATTTCAGTGGCATTTAGATCCATGAGAATTGTTTAAAAGCATGACATAACATTATGCTTTTAAATGTTAATATGCATAATTTTCTGGAAATCACAACCTTTGAGCCACTTAAAATACATGATGAAACATGTTAGATATAAACTTTATTTTTTATTCTTCAGCAGAAATATCAGAATATATAATTTATTGTATACTTGTTACACTTGGCCACAATTGCAAACAGAACAGGGCCTGAATGTCAGGTCCAGGGCAAAGTACCAACAGGGACCGTTTTATTGTGACCAAGATGGGTCTATCAGGGGTACTCTTGGCGATCAGATGGTGATGAAGTCTTAGACCCACTGAGAGGCAAGTTCTACACAAAAAAGCCTGTAGCCCAACAGCTACAGTCTTAGACCCACTGAGAGGCAAGTTCTACACAAAAAAGCCTGTAGCCCAACAGCTTATACTAGTGTCCTCAGCCTCTGGTATCCATGTTTCTGCTCTTATGGCCTTCACGTGCACGCAAGCAAGCAGTTTACTTGGGATCTGCCTCATCTTTCTTTTCTTTTCTTCAGACTACACATTCTTCTTCTGCTTGGCTCTCAAAACATGGAGGTTCCTAGAAAGATGGCATAAATATAAACTTTTAAGTGAAAGATGTTACCTATTTAAGAAGTATCCATGATTAAATCTGTAGAGCTAATATCTAGATTCTAGAAGACGATTGTTGTTTGACTCTGCAGAGCTTACTCACTCTGATTCTAGAAGGGGCCCAGTGATGTTTGTAGTACCTGCCCCAGCCACAGTGATGTTTAAGGGAAAGACACATTACCCAGTCAGTTTAATTTTGTCATTAAACTTAATGACAACATCTCAACTAAGAGTGACTTTGTCTTCCTCATGCTATCCCAAGAACAGGGGAGGGAAGGAGGGGTGAAGGTATGAGCCAGTTAGGTTCTGGGGCTGGAGGACTTGGCCCAGGCTGAGGCAGCCACCCAACACAGGGACCTGGCCCAAGGGTCCTCATGCCCTTTCAGACTTCCCCTCTAGCTTGTCCTAGCCCTTCTCCTGGCTCCCACTCACCCAGCAGCTCTGCCCTCTTCACTGCTGCCCATTTCTGATCCCCACTCCTCTTGACCTGGGAAATCCAACTCCTACTCCAGTTTTTTCATACCCCAATCCCCACCCACTTCCAGCCCCCTTCCTTCCCCTGCTCTCCTGTTCCTGCTCCCTCACCCCACCCCTTGTTTCCAAGATGGCTCCAGCCAGAGCAGAAACCTTGTCCATCCAACTTTGGTGCCCAGGCCATGCCCCCAAATTGTCCACAGGACCTTGTGGTAGCTGGTGCAGGAAAAACCGGGGCTGCAGTCTCCAGGACTCCCTTGGTGAGTCACCCAGGGCCTCTGAGAGGGCAAAGCTGGAGCATTCTGAGGTCACAAAGAGACTAGAGGGACACTGGAGTCCCTGACCTTGAGTGAGAAAGTCTCGACCAGAAGGCATCTGGAGTTCTGGCTCCTCAGGCCTCTTCCCCTGGGCCATTTATCCCCTCTTCTGGCAGGCTTCTCTGGTCTAGGCCTTAAAGGCCCTGATAAATCTCTCAGGCTTTATTTATTTATTTATTTATTTTTTGAGACAGAGAGTTTGAAGCTGTCACCCTGGGTAGAGTCTCGTGGCATCACAGCTTACAGCAACCTCAAACTCTTGGGCTTAAGCGATCCTCTTGCCTCAGCCTCCAAGTAACTGGGACTACAGGTGCCCATGCAAACACCCAGCTATTTTTGTTGTTGTTGTTGCAGTTGCATTGTTGTTTTAACTGGCCCGGGCTGGGTTCTAACACGCCAGCCTGGGTGTATGTGGCCGGCGCCCTACCCATTGAGCTATGGGCATTGTCAATCTCTCAGGCTTTTGACATTAATCTTCTCCCCCCAGACTCCTTGGGAGCCGGAGTGGGCACAGCCATGGGATGGCAGACAGGGTCCCATCACTCATGCACAGAAAGTAGTTAACCTCCTGTCCTTGCAGGAGCTGCACTGCCCCCAGCCTCCTGAGTTCCAGTCAAGAGAGACCCCAGCTTCCAAGGAGTTCCAAGAGACCCACCTTCCTGATGCCACAGTGCCCAGGCCCAGAGCAAGTCAAGGTCTCATCTCTGCCCCATTCTTGGACCCTCTCAGGGCCCTACTCCTCGATTTTCTGTGCAGCCCTTCCTTTTATAATGTTCACAGTTTCTAGCCTGAAAATGAGATAAAAACTTAGAATAATGTTGAAAATTAGAGATTGTGAGGGCTTTTAGACAGACTGCAAGCCTCTATAGGACCCAGTGCCAAGCAGTCACCATCCCTAGCCTTGAGAGGATCTTTGCTACCTCCTCTGGGCCACCTAGATCTTCTCTTGCATCTCCAGGGTACCTGCCTCCTCTAGATAAAGATGCTCCACTGCTACCCCACCCTTACGCCCTCTGAGATCTTCTGGCTTTTCTGGTTGGCTCCTCCTTTAGCCTCAACCCTGGCTCCCCCCTGGCTCAGAGACAACATCAGAATCAAGGTGTACCTTTGACATTTTGTCACATTCATGCCCACCTCTAACCAATGTGACCAGGTCCCCATCCACTGCCCCCCTGAAACCCCTCCCCTTAGGTGGCATCACATTTGTGAGGCCCCTGGCCATCTCTCTGGGTCTTGTGCTTTCGTTTCCCTCATGGCCTCCTCTGACCTCCTTCACCTGCTCTGCAACAGTGTGTCTACTATTCACCTTAGTGTTCACCTTTCAAGATGCAGCTCTCCACCTCTTCCGCTCACTGAGGTGCCTGTGCCCTGCTATGGACTGGCTACCTCCAGCAGGTGCCACACAGGACATGCCTCCCCTGCTACCTTACTACCATGTTTCCCCGAAAATAAGACACTGTCTTATATTTTTTCTCAAGAAGACACACTAGGGCTTCTCTCCGCACCGAAATGCATGGCGTGGCTATGCAGATACGCTGTATAGCCAGGCCCATCACTAGGTCTTATTACCGAGGTAGGACTTATAGTTAACAGATGCATAGAAATCCTGCTAGGGCTTATTTTGGGGGTAGGTCTTATTTTCGAGGAACCAAGGTAGCTATTAGGCTCTGGCTGCCTACATAACTGCCTTGTATGCTTGAAGGACGTCATCTGTGTCTATGGTACCTGGCTCAGAGCAGGAGAAAAAGATCTCACATCTTTGAGGAGCACAGTCCAGCTGGGCAGGGCTGTGTGATTTTGGAGCTTAACATCTAACTCAAACCCTGGGGAGGGCAGGTCAAGGAAAGCCTTTGGGAAGAAAGGACCTAGAGCTCAGCCTCAAAGGGTGAACAGATAAATGATGGGTGATACAGGGAAGGAGGTGGGTGTGACTAGGGATGGAGCTATGAAGAGTTGTACTGGGCTTAAGGGCTCTAACTGTGCAGCAAGGCTGAGGGGGAGAGGGGAACCACATGGCCCCCAGTGCAGGGGGTAACTCCACTGGCTTCACTTGTAGAGATGGTCTAGTGTTAGTGAGCAGAGGGTAGAAATGGAAACAGAAATTACTGAATCATGGCTCGTTGCCTGTGGCTCAAGCGGCTAAGGCGCCAGCCACATACACCTAAGGTGGCAGGTTCAAATCCCCAGCCCAGGCCCGCCAAACAACAATGATGGCTGCAACCAAAAAATAGCCAGGCGTTGTGGTGGGCGCCTGTAGTCCCAGCTACTTGGGAGGCTGAGGCAGGAGACTCGCTTGAGCCCAGGAGTTGGAGGTTGCTGTGAGCGTGATGCCATGGCACTCTACCCAGGGGGATGGCTTGAGGCTCCGTCTCAAAAAAAAAAGAAATTACTGAATCAGAGGGGAAGAGGCAACACCAAGTAGACTTGAGTGTGGACAGTGGGAAAGACATGTGATGGTTCCAAACCAGGAGAAGCAGAATTCATGAACTGGACACTAAGGAGGTTTACACCTTAGGACAACCATACTTCCAGCTTAGGAGATGCCTCTCAGTGAACTGATGAGTGGAGAAAAGCATCAGAAAGCCTGGGCTGAGCAGTGGCCGACTCTGGGTGAAGATCCCAGAGAAACCAGGCCTGGGCAGAGGTTTAGGTCAGAGACAGGGACCTACAAGTTGCCAGTGAGAAGGGTCAAGGCTGGGGAGGTTTTTGTAAGCAGTCTGAGGGACAGAGGAGGACAACCAGACTTAGTTTCATTTCTTATAAATTTATTACATAATAATATTATTGTAATAATTATTATCAATAATAATAATATAAGAAACATAGATCTCTGTGGGGTGTATCACAACGTCAGGGTCAGGAGGCCTCAGGACTGGAGCAGGGGGTTAAATCCCCCAGTGGAACTCCATACAAAAGGAGGGGTGAAGCAGAACTGACCCTGTAAAGTTAAAAACCCAAATTGAACGGAACCAAAAACCCACAGGTGAGGGTGAGACCGAGTGTGTATGTGGCAGTCATTACATTGACTGCTGCTGAGTAACCTGGACTATTGGTGAGTGGATGGGTGGGGGGGTGTCTGCGCCCAGGGAATGGGGCCGGTAGGCTAGGGAGGGGCGGGCACAGACCGGCATGCCAGGCCCCTGGGCTGTGAAAACTTGTTTTCTTTTTTTTTTTTCTTTTATTAAAAAAAGCTAGAAATATAAACAGAAACTTGTGAGTGACGTGGATGGAGCTTAATCCAGACTCCAAACCCTAGGTTTAAAAACATCCCAGGGCCCCCCACCCCACAGGTCATTGCTGAGTGTGAGGAGTCACAGTAAGGGGGGCTGGGCAACCTCGGGGTCTTTGACTCTCCCCCAGGGCCTGAGGTGGCCTGATTTCTAGGGGTTCCCCTATGGCCCCATCAGAAGCCCAAGGTGGGCAGTGCCTCCAAGGGGCCCCTGGGGCCTCTCCAAGCAGCAGGGATTCACCTGGGACCCTGCTTGGGCTAGGTGAAGCTCTGAAGGGGCAGGCAAACAGCAGGTCCCAGGTGGCAAGTGGCCTCTGACTTTCTTTGGAAGAGGAGACAGGGTGCTGTCACAGGCACACACCCATGCACACACCGAGCCTCCACAGCCCCATGATGGTCCAGAGCAGCCCCAGGGCCACTCCACCATCAGGAATACACACAGCTCAATCGCACCCAGAATCACACCCCACACAGGGCAGGAACAGGAGGCTTTGGGGTCCAAGGCAGGGAGGCTTCTCTGCTGTAGTTGCCCAAGAACATGGGGACCAGACCAGACCCCTCTCAGACCAGAGACCCTGTGAGGAACATGGCTGCAGCAGAGCATCAGGGCCCTGCCCCCAGCTGCAGGGTGACGGCCTCCCAGGCCCCTGGTCCTGCTAGCCCCCAGCAGGACCTGCTGCCTGCTGCCCTTCCCCCCACAAGCAGCACCTAAAAGGTCGGTGGGGCACACTAGAGCTCAGCGAGGGGCGGGGGCCCAACTGGGCCCCCAGGGCAGGCCACTAGGACCCTGGCCAACCCCAGACCAGCTGGAGCATCCCCTGCCCAGTGTGGGGTGGCAGTGGCAGTGAGGGGCCAGAGATGGAAGACTGGGCAGCTGCAATAGGACAGGCAGGAGGAGTAAAGGGAGGGGAGCAGAAACTATTACGGACAGAGATATTTGTTCCTTTTCTCGTTCCAAATAGAGAGTGGATTAAAATATGCAAAACAGGGGGCTCCTTGGCCCCCATCGAGAACCCCAATGTCTCCCCCCACCCCCCGAGTCACCAAGGCGTGTCCTGACCTCGCATGCTGGACTAGGTTCCCCCTCTAGGAGAATGGCCACCGGGAGCTGTGACGAGGTGGTCAGGCTAGAGCACCCCCCTGGCCCCCTCCCGCCCCAGCCTCCCTGGTCCACGCCCTTCCTTTGTGCTGGGTGGGGCTGGGCAGCCGGGGAGGGCACTAAGCAATGTACAGGGCAAGTCTCCGAGCAACAGCAAACAGGACGATTCATGCAACATTCCTGGCCGGGGCGCCGTCGTAGGGGGCGGGCCGAGCCCGCGGCCCGGGGTGGGGATGGGAGGCCCTGCCGGCAGGGCGCGGCCGGGGTGGAGTGGGGGTGGGGCGTCAGCTGCCTTCCAGCTGCCTGAGCGCGCGCTCGATGTTCATGCGGTGGCCCACGCGCGTGACGCCCAGCTCCACGAAGTCGTCCTTGGTGAGTGCGGGTAGGTGCGCGCCTTCTATCTCGTGGTCCTCGAAGCGATCGCGGTGCTCGCCTAGGTGGATGCTCTCCAGCCAGTCGCCAACATCGAACTTGCTCCATAGCTGCAGCGGCTTCTGCTGGAAGGGCCGGCGCGGGCCAGGGGCGCTGGGGCCAGGGCCCGACGCAGGCGAGGGCAGCGGTGACGGCGAGGGAGAGCGGCTGCGCGCACTCACGCTGCGCACCACGAAGCGCACCTCCTTGGGCTCGTGCGGGATGGAGAGGCTGGACGACTTGAGGATGGTGGGGGGCGTGAGGCCAAAGGGCCGCCCCGCGCCCCCCGCACCCGCCCCCAGCCCCTCCACCCGCTCCAGCGACGCGGGCTTCACCGGACTCGGGGCGCGTCGTGTTATGGGGTAGCGGCCGCTAGGCCTCACGGAGTAGGAGGCCCCGCTGCCCGGGCCCCCGGGGCTGCGCTGCGCTGAGATGGAGCTCAGCTCACTGAGGCTGCTGAAGAGCCTGCGGAGGGAGAGGGGGTCAGCGCCAGGTGAGGGCGCAAAACAAAGTGGGGACGGGTGGAGGAGGGCAGGGCAAAGGGCCAGGAGGACAGGGGGCTGGGAGCCTGGTGGGAGTAGCCTCTGGATCAGAGGAAGAAGGACCCTGTATTCACCTTGGCCCCTCTGCTTGGCACCGAGGGTCACGGCCAGTACCCTGCTCTGGAGACATCTAGACACACTAAAAGATGAGGCGTTAAGTCTAATGGCCTCCACCCCACGGAGGCTCCAAGAGCAGCCCACCAGAGGAAAGACAGCCTCCCATGGGAAAGGGCTGGCTGCCCCTTGCCAGTGTCAGAGACTAGCTCTGAGCATGGACCCATCCACAGATGCCCTGGACTGTAAGACTTCACTACTCCCCCAACAGGTGTGCTCTCCTGAGGAGACTGCTTCAGAGACTGCTGAGTCATGACAGAGGGTGGCAGCAGCACAAGGCTGAACAGGCCTGTGACATGGGACAGACCTCAGGCGCGTTCACGCCACGTGGGGCAGCAGCACATGCAGGGCAGGTGTGAGGCAGCCTGCACATTACTGCACACGACAGCAGCAATGGTGCCCATGGGTGTTGCAGACATGCAGCAGCAGTGGCAGGGGCAGCAGCACACAGAGAGACACATGTGCACACACTCAACACGGACAGATAGCACCTCACTTCCCAGCCTCATCTGGCAGGATCCCAGACCTCTAGCCCCTCTTCAGCCTGGCCATGGTAGGAAGCCTACCTGGGGTGACTGGTCCAGAGAAGACCCACTCTCATATGCCCCCATTCCCATCCCTATTCCCCTGCCAGGGCCAGGAGAAGCCTTACAGGGCTGTCAGCAGCACCAAAACCCCACACAGTCACACACCAGGCACAGCGTGAGGACAGTGAGAGGCATGGGATGGGCATGCTCACTTACACAGCCGGTGCTCGGGACCACTGCGCAGCTAAACAGAGCAGCCACATGCAGATGAGCAGGAGAGAGCAGTGAGAGAGAGTGTTAGCAGGCCAGGCCCATGTGGCCCACTGTCACAACCAAACAGTGGGCAGCCAGGTGCAGAGACCCCCCAACTAGACACCACATGTAGGAACTCAGGTGCTATGGGAGTGAGCAAATCTGGAGCTGCTGGGGGAGGGAAAGCACCTAATAGAGTATCTGAAGGGTAGGTGGACTCAGGTAGACCTGAGAGGGCCTAAGTTACCTGCATGTGTAGACTACAAGCGTGCTCACTAAGTGCCTGGCATTCAGTGGCCCCCTTACATCCTCTCTGTTGTCTGAGCAGCCTATTTCCAGATGCCCTACACCTGCCTCTCCCTGCCCAGCCTGGGTGCCCTGCCCATACTTGGCATATTTTGATCACACAGCACCACCAGCTCCCATCCCAGATGGGCATAGGGCTCCCCAACATGGGTCTTCTCCTTAAAGCAAGTTGTCTTCTGCCCTCACCTATGCAAGGTCAGCCCCTCTGGAGATGAACTCTGTTTCTCTTCCTGGGCCTCGTTTCTGACCTCTCCTCAGCCTCTGTCCCTCCTTAGAGTGTCTGAAAGTGTGGGCCTCCTTCTAACTGCTCAGACCCAAAGCAGAGCTTTCTCTAGAGGCTACACTGTGACCCCCCAAAAGAAAGAGGCTCCAAGAACACCTGGGGTGGGCAAAGGGAACAGGTACCACCACCAAAGGAAACTACCTGCTCCCACCAAACCTGGCCTACATGGAGCCACCTGCAGTTTGAGGCAAAGTAGGGTGACAGCCAGGGCTGGGGGGAAGATGCCTAAAGGGAGGTTCCAGGTGGTGGTGGCTGGAGGGGGGAAATGAAGCACTCTGGGGGAGCAGTGCCCAAGGGGTGGTAATTGCTGGAGGGAAGTACCAGGGGAGACTCTAAGGGAATCATACCTATAGGACTGTGGACACCCAGACAGAAATACATGACTGGCCCTCACACGCTAACCTTGGACTGGGGACCTGCATCACAGTATGAACACCTGCCCTAACCCTGCCCCAAGGTTGTGGTTTCAATACAGTTGTGATGTCATGTGTACCTGGAATCTCAGGTGTAGCAAAAGCATACTGGTATGTTGGCAGGACCACAGCAGTTAAAGGCAGAGGCCCAGAGCAAAATCTGGGCTCCCTGAAATCCAAGCTGCCCAGAGCATAGTTATGCCTGTCTGGATGGTGCTAGAGTCTTCCTGCCTGACAGGCTGAGCTGGAAGCCTAGGCTGAGGGCACACTGATTCCAGAGGCATCTAGAGAGCCAGGGGCCAGAGAACAAGATACATCAGGACAAGCTTCCACTGGCCTGGGGGTGGGGAGTGTCACGGTCACACTAGCATCACCTCCCAAAGCATGCTGCAGGTGTCAAGAGGCTGAGAAAAGGCTCGGCGCCTATAGCTCAACCGGCTAAGGCACCAGCCACATACACCTAAGGTGGCGGGTTTGAATCCCCAGCCCGGACCCGCCAAACAACAATGACGGCTGCAACCAAAAAATAGCCGGGCGTTGTGGCGGGCGCCTGTGGTCCCAGCTACTTGGGAGGCGGAGGCAGGAGACTCGCTTGAGCCCAGGAGTTGGAGGTTGCTGTGAGCTGTAATGCCACGGCACTCTACCCAGGGGGACAGCTTGAGGCTCTGTCTCAAAAAAAAAAATAAAATAAAAAAAAAAAAAAAAAAAAAAAAAAAAAAAAAAAAAAAAAGAGGCTGAGAAAAAAGGGAAAGGTATGTCCTCCAAAGGCCCCAGGGCACAGGAGGGAGTGCCTATGGACTAGGTGTCTGTCCTTTCTTCTCTTTCTCTTGGGAACAGGGTGCTGTCCACACCATCCCCAGGACAGGAAAACCAACAGTGTCCATGTCTGACTTCCATGTTGTCATGGCATCATTGCTCCCACCTGTTTGACCACTTCTGTGGCCAGGCTCTGGCAGCCACACAGCCATGTCATAGTACCTGGTAGCCTCTTGATGGGCTTCTCGGCCACCTACCCTATGATACCTCACCAGGTGACATCAGCCCAGAACACCTGCAGCAGTCTCCCTCCAGAGGCTGAAACCAGATCATTCTGTGAGGCATCTATGTCCCAAATGTCTTCTCCCCAACATCTGAGTCTTGACTGTCTCTGTCTCCTGGTCCCTTCAGTGAAGTCTGGCATAGTTCTAATAGCCTCCACCCCACGGAGGCTGCAGTTACCACCTGACAACCTGCAGTTACCAAGTCAGGACCCCATTGCTGCCTTATTCATCTGTTTCCCTTTAGAGCATCCTTCTCTTAGACTCTTCCTGGATGGATTTTTTGGGCTCCTCTCTTAGTCTGCACTTTCTCCTGGGTGATGTTATCCACTCCTACTCTTCACTATGGCTTATGTGCCCAGGAATGCCACATGTGAGACTCAGCCACTCTCCCTAAGAGCTCTACTGGGGTTTCCAAACATGCTCCCCCAGCCTGCCTCAGTGAATGAATGGCATCCTGTCCTTCCCACACAAGGAGCCTAGGAGCCACCATCAGCTCCTCCATATTTTTACCCTATGTCCAATGAGTCACCAATTCCTAACGTCAACCCAGGCCTGCCTCTTCACCCCCAGCCACCTCTGGATCCTGACGTTTCATGGTCTCGGGGCCTTTTACCTCATTTTCTTAACTGTTTTCATTGATTACTGGTACCTAGCACAAGGCCAGGAAAACAAGATGCACTAAAAACATATCATCATACAAAAATAATATGACATGTCCTTTTCAGGCTTGCCTACCTCTGTCAGCCCACTAGTACCAATAGGCAGGGAAAAGTCCAGACTGTAACCTTTTGAAAACTGGGGTCCTTGTTATGGGACACAATCTTCAATTGGAACACGAACCTAGGCAAAGGCTGAGGCTTCAGTGTTTGCCCTCTGGTGACAGTGCCTCATTCCTCATCACCCACACCTGCAGCTGCAGCCCTGATGTGCCATATACTACATTCCCTCCTCTGCATCCCCTTCCTATTCCCTCCACAGAGTTCAGAGCTCCTGGGAGTACACCTACCCATACTCCACTGTGTTGTTTTGCCTGCAGAGACAGAGCACAGTCTGGCCCCAGTGTCCTAGCCCACTGAGCACTTGACACATTCTGGGTTTTAGAACAGACAGTGGCCTTGAGGCAGGTATGGTCAGCTAAGCACATGGGCTTTTCCAGATCCTTGACTCAGCCTCTGAAGGTAACAGAGGCAGAGTTTCTTGACCTCCTCGAGAAGCATAGGTCTCCTATGAGATCAATTAGTGACCCTCAACGTCTGGAGACCTCCACATGCAATGCCCTACTTGACACAAACTTGTCAAAGGCACTAGAAGTACCACAGCCAAAGAATCATTTGTGTTTCCAAAGCTATTTTACCAATCTTTTTCTACAAAACCAGATTTGAGAGTCAGGCCAAGGCCACTGAGTACCATTGTGGGCCTTAGGTCATATGCAGGTTTCAGATCCAAGCATGGGGCCTGGAAGAAAAATGGAATTCAGAGACAGATAGGGGAGTCAAAAGATAGGTGGGGGGCCCAGGACCAATTGTGGACCTTAGAGTCAGGTTTGCAATGAAGGCCCAAATGCAGCCTCAGCATCAGCTGTGGGGCCTCAAGACAGAAGAGGGGCTCTGAGCAGCCCAGTGGTCTATCTAACAGAGCTGGATTCAAGCTGAAAACACCGAGTGAGTTGGACAATTTTGGATCAATGTTTCAGAAAGTACAAGGTCCTGGACCTTCCAGAGGCAGCATGAGAATGCTGCATACTCTAGCTTCCACCCAAAGAATCAAAGATGTTCCCAGTGCAAATGAGCTGATCATTTTCCTACAAGTTACCAAGCTTTAGTTCCATGAGATATAGGGCAGCTTAACTTGCACAGAAAGACCTCAGGCTGCAGGGCAACTTGTGTTACAGAATATAAATGGACAGAGCCATCTGTGAAGAAGGTGGGCAAGGAGGGGTATTTCCTTCCCTGCATTGTCTCCTGAGTGAGGAGAGGAACGGGCCTGGGAGACTGAGGAAACACATTGGGGACTGGGGACATGGCTCAGATATGACCCTAAGGATGGCTATGGCAGAGGCCCCAGGGAAGCCTGGGGAAGAAAGCAGGCATACCTGGATGTCAGAACTTCCCACACTTTGGACATTTCTCTAAAAGAGGGTCTCACAAGCAGTTTTATTCCTAAGTGAGGAGGGAGTGCCAGCTGCCAATGGCTGCAAGGACAAGAGCTGACAAGCAACTGATAGGCCCCACAGCTACGGTCAGCACACAAGGAGCAGACCTGAGATAGGACTGGACTCAGACACAGCCACAAGCTTCCTGCCCTCAGCATCCTTGGCTACACCCAGAAGTAAAGAGGCCAGGTAGACAGTGAAGCTCACTCCACATGGGACAGAAGGAAAAGTGAGTAGGGACTGATAGGAACACAGGGCCAGAGGGTGCTTTGATGCTGTTGGGCATACCTCGCGCATTGGGTGCTGTTTATTACATACATGACTGGCAAATGAAAGTGTCCTGGTTTGTGCTTTATAGGGCACATGTCCACTACGTCTATGAGACTGAATTGCTAGGCACAAGCGATTATCTCATGTGTGTCATCAGAGGCAGATTATGGCCAATAATTCTTATGGTAGAGAGCAGAAGGCAGGGCTTGAGGTCAGACCATTTACTGACTGGAATGAATCTCTCTAGAGCCTCAGTTTTATTGTCCAGAAAATGGAGGTTGTATTATGGTCCATCTAACAGAACAGCTGTGAAGACAAACTAGCATGATGGGACAGTCTCTAGTGCCATATATAGAATGCTCATCTTCACAGAAAGGTATCTCAGACTTAACCTAGAGCCTTTCTAAGTGCCTGGGTGTCAGTAACAACACAGTCAATACTGACTGATGTGCAGTGAGGGCCCAACATGCCCTAGCCCTGGGCCTGCTTAGTGTTTCATGGGTGATGCCTTAGGCCACCCTCATGACAACCTGAAAAGTTCGTTTCACTATAATACCCACTTCACAGGGAAGGGACAGAAATTCATAGAGGCTTGTCCAAGACTACAGAGGTAAAATGTGACTTGCTGAGGGCTGAAGTCCAGGGCCCTCTGATGGCCCCAAGCTGATGCCAAGCAAAGAAGTCAATGGCAAGGGCCCTGTAACAGGGACATCTGTTTCGGGCCACCCAGCATCTGGTTCCTCCTGTAATAGCACTTGGCCTCCTCTGGAGAGCTGCCTCCCCGTTCTCAGCCCCTGTTTACCCAGGTGGGCTAACTGTATCTTGCTCCTGGAAGAACACAGGAATCAAGCCCAACCAATGATAACCCCATATCCCCTGATGCCAGTAATGGATCAGGGGAAAGAAGAAGACTCACATGAAGCCAATCGAGGCCAGAATTTTGCAGGAACTACTGAGTAAAAGAGGTTCACTTTCTATTGGGCCTGCATTGCTACTTTTGCCCTTCCCCACCCATGTCTAAGAAAAAAAAAAAAAAAAAACGCAGGGACTTGGCGAAACTCAGAGCCACAGGATAGATAAAAGAATTTCACCCTGACCCTGATCCAGGCAAAATGCTAAAGACCACAGGGGAAGATGAATTCAGAGAAGTAGGTACTGAAGGTTCTATTGGGGAATCATCTGGCTCTTGATTTAGAATGGCTGCAGCCCCACCATGGGAGCAAGCAGAGCCCATGGCAAGGCCTGGGCTCACCAAAGCCTGACCCCAGTGGTGCCACACCCAATAAATCTGAGCCACTGTGTCTGTCCCCCCATGGTATTTGTCCTAAGCCATCTTCCTAGATCTCAAATCGCAAAAGACAGCACTTGTGTTTACCTTTGTTCTTTCGTCCATTTAACAAACATTTAGTGAGGGTCTGCACTGGGCTGGGCACTGTGCTATGTGGGCACTTTAACTGGCTTTGATTTTCATTGAGAACAAGAGGCAAAGAGGAATGGAGGGGCTGGTTGGGGGAGGAAAACCATAGAGGGAGGATGGGGGCTGATCAAGGTTGAATCAGGGCTCTGGTCTACATAGAGACCTAGGACTTGGGCTGCTTAGCCCCATTGGACACTTACTGTCTGCACCTATAATAGCTGGGATTGTAGGTGCTACCACATCTGGTTATTCTATTTTTTGTAGAGATGGCGTTTTGTTCTTGCTCAGGTTCGTCTTGAACTCCTGGCCTCAAGCAATCCTCCCACCTCAACCTCCCAGCCTGCTGGGATTGTAGGTGTGAGCCACCATGGCTGACCCCCTACTTATCTCTTGAATTCCGAACTGGAAGAAGGTAGAATGGCCAGGCCCTCATGAGTAAGACCTGCAAAGTCCTTAAGCACTGAACACCTCACTTTGTGAACTCTGCCTTCCAAGGCTGACAGAAAGGGCCACTGGCTGGTCTTCTGAGCAGCAAGACAGAGTGAGGAGGTGGCATCCATACACATTCCCCAAACCCAGAAAGGAGAAGGGGAGACCTAGGGTCACAGAAGACACAAGCAACTTGAAAATCACAGACAAAAGGGCTGGCAGGAGATGACCCGCTCTTCTACCAGCATCTATGTAGCCCATAGGCCCAAGGGTCTCCTCTTTGAAGTGAGCCTTGAGGGTGGGGTACTCAGGGAAAGACTTACGGGATTAGCCTAGGGGGTCTAGCAGCTTCTGCCTAGACTAGCAGTTCTCAACCTGTGGGTTGCGCCCCACAGAAACTGTATTAAAGGGTCGTGGCATTAGGAAGGTTGAGAACCACTGGCCTGGACAGAGCAGCGACAGCCTCAGCAACACCCTAGTACCCTGCGTGTCTCCTCCCCGCCAACTCTTCAGGACAGGAAGGGAAAGAGGGGAAAAGGCAAGAGAGCAGAAAGAGAAATGTTGTGACTTCCATCTTCTTAACACACTTAAAAATCACAAATAGGAATCTGTGTTTAGGGGACTCTGAGGTGGTACCAAGAGGCAGAAAACAGTAAGTTACTGACAGGTCCCAAAATGAAACGTAGTGTGTTCCAATCCTCAAAAGGGGGAAGGCAGAGGGCGCCAGCCACGTGGGGGAGCGGAGGTGTGGAGTGGCAGAAACAGGCCACAGAGAAGCTGAGAGGAGGGAGGTTCAGCTCCAGAGTAGAGCATAAGACAATCCTGGGTGGTGGAGGCTATCTGGGCCGAAAGTGAGAGTATGGCGGGAGCCTCTAGGAGGGCCAAGGAGCTGCTCGCACCCAATCAGGGTCTGTGATGGGCACCCTGCTCCCACTTCTAACACCAACAGGGATGTTGAAGGCAGTAGCCTGATGTCCCAGAGACCCTTACCTCAGACATGCCAAGCAAGACCAAATAAAGAAGTGGATAGCTACAGGGTGTGGGCACCACAGACGGGTAAGGGATAAAACAGAAAGAGGAGCAACAGGGGGGGCCTGTGGACAGACGAGAGGAAGGTGAGGGAGGATGGACAAAGCATGGAGCCCTCCCACATCACCCTGCTTACCGAGCTGCTGCGATGGGTGACTTCTTGGCAGGGTCTAGCAGGCCACCCAGGCCACCAACTGGTTCCTCCCCCAGGGAGCGTGTGTCTTTGTTCAGCTGCTGCAGGCGAGAGCTGAGCTCACTGATCACAGTTGGTTTGTCGTCTTCAGGCCCAGGGAGCCCCCGGCTCTCCACGGGGTCCCCCCACAGCTTGGACCTTCTCTGGAAGAGGTAGCGAGGGCGGGCAGGCCCGACGGCAGAGGCCAGCCCAGCAGAGGCGGCGTGGTGCTGCTGGGCCATAAGCTCGCTGTCCGAGGACTGCTTTAGCAGTGGGTCCCTGAAGGTCACCGGCCCCTTCCCCAGCGGGGACTTGAGCTTGGGCTTGGGAGGCACTGGTGGCTTCTCGAGTAGAAAAGTGTGTCCATCAGCAAAGGAGGTGTGGGTATCAGTGAGCTCCCCACTCTCCGAGCTCAGGGTGGACATGCTGGACACTGTGGAGATGGTGCTTGTGGTCTCCAGATGGGGGTCACTGGAGCTGCGTGTGTCAGCTTCCTCCACCCCAGAGTCAGCTGCAGACTCTGGGGCAGGGGGTGGCTCACTGCTGGGCTTCCCTGAGGCCGGGCTGGGTACCGTGGTGGGCGAGGGGCCCGGGCCAGTGAGTGGGGTGGCCAGCAGGATCCCATTGGCAAACTCTTCAGGGGGTGGCACCAGCCCAATGCGGGCCAGCTCTTCCCTAGTCTCCTCATCACTGGAGGACAGCTGGGCAGGTGGCAGGTTCACAGCGAACACCAGCTCCGGCTCTTCCTCTGAGCTGCCCTGGCCTGGCCCAGAATCTGCTGGGGTGCTGCCTGGAGGCTGAGCCCGGGGGCTGGGCAGGGGCTCGGTTGCCACTGCTGCTGACTGCATGGGGGCTGGGGCCAGCTCCGGGGTCCCCGGGCGCTCCTCTTCAGCCCCCAGCCTGCTGGGCTCCTGCCCATTGCTGGTGGCATGCACAACAATGAGGCCAGCAGGTCGTTGCAGGGATGTGTCCAGGACACTGAGGATCATGGACTTCTTGTCCTCAGGTGACTTGCGCTCCTCCCGGGGAGTCTTCTCTGCCTCCCTGCGAGCAGGTACAGGAATCCAGGCCGGGCTCCGGGGGGAGAAGGCTGGGGAGGCCAGGGCCCCACGCTCCGAGTCCCGGGCCTGTACATCCACAAACAGGGGTCCGGGGCGGTCAGCATCAGGGCTATGCACAGGTGTAGGGGACCGGGAAGGCGTCTGGGAGGCCAGAGCCCGCTCTCGGGCAGCCAGGGCAAGGGCTAGGGGTGAGCTGGGGTCCAGGGGTTTGCCGGTGAGTGGGTGGATGAAGGTGGAGCCTGAGGGCCCAAGGCTGGGGCTGCTGACCAATGGCTTCAGAGCAGAGACAGGGGAGGGTAACAGCAGATCTCGGCCAGCGGTGGGGCTGGCCCCCAGGAGGCGCTCATCGATGGAGCGGGAAGGCTGCAGGGATGGCAGGTCTGCAGTGGGAGGACTGCCCTCGATGGCTCCCACAGACAAGAACACAGTGGACCGCCGTCGCTCCTCCAGCCGCCGGTCCTTGCCAGGACCTGGTCCACCAAACGAAAGCCCTGGGCCATCCCCTGTGCTGTAATCGAGGCCACCAGGGCGGGGGCTGCGGTGTGTCGGGGAAGGCTCACGGGCGAAGCTGCCGCCAGCGGGGCCAGGACTACCCACAGCCAGAGCCGCGCGCTCCTGCGCATCCTCCACTTGCAGCTGCTTCACCAGTGGGCTCTTGCGGCGCTGCGGTTTGGAGGGTGCGAAGATGCTGGCACTGAAGGCGCCCAGGTTAGCGTATGGGCTGTCAGGGCCCGGAGGCCGGGGCCGGCGCTTGGGTCGTTCCGGCGGAGTGGCTGCGGGCGGGGGCCGAGGGGCATCACCGGTCTCGGGAGCAGAGTCCTGTAGGATGATCATGGAGCGTGCGCGCTTCTGCCGCTCAGGATAGGGCAATGGGCCAAGGGGTGCGCCTGGTTCGTACAGGCCAGCGGCTCCTGCACCTAGGCGGGCCTCCAGACCCGGCTTAAAGCTGGAGCGCACCGTGTCATAGGCACGGCCCGGCGGTGGCGGTGGCGAGAAGGCCGGGGGCGGCCCTGAGTCGAAATAGTAGGGTGCGGGCGGGGGTGGTGGCGCGGTCTGTGGCGGGGGCGGAATGCCACGGCCCTCACGCACTGTGTCTTGCATCGATGTGCTCCGTGGAAAGCGCCCTTCCAGTAAGGACGCCAGTTTTTCGTCCTCCCCTGCAGAAGGAAGGGGCCCAGTGAGACAGTCTGGTACTTCTGGAGAGGTCCCTCCATACCCCTGCACCTCCACACACACAGAGGCCAGACCCCTCCCTGACACCAAGTCCACGGCAGCTACAAGGGCGCTCATGTGCGCTCAGCAGAAGGGAGGTATGCTAGCCTGGTTTGGAAAGATGGGGGATGGCTGGGGGAGTATAGGGAGCCCAAAGCAGGTGCTCTGAGCAAGACTCCAGTCTGGGCTGATCCCTGGACACCCAAGCTCTGTCCCGCAGCCCCAGTGCTGTGCTAGGTCTCTTGTTAAGAGTATGGGAGAGAGACACCGGTTAGCTACTGGGTGAAGGAGGCCCCAGCAGTGAAGCCCTGAGAAAGGACCTATATTCTGACTACCTGGGTGGGGCCAAGACCTGCCCAAGCCCAGAGATATGCAGCAGACCCTGAGAAGACATTCTCAGACAAGTATAAGACTTCCCAGTGAAGACTGAGAAAGGCCATCTCAGAAACACCAGCAATGGAACAAGTGGGTGTCAATAGGGGGGGTCTGGGGACAACCAGAGAGGGGAAGAAGAGAGACAGTCAGAAGCGGGAGGGATGCAAGGGGGAATGGAGCCATACACCTATCAGAGAGCTCTGACACCCAAGTCAGGAGGTACCCTGTGGAAGAAATCCTAAGAAGTTCCCCCCTGAGAACCACACGAGTGGGTGATGTCACCACAGCAGCTGAAATTCGGTAATGTTGGGTGAGTGTATGTAACGATGGATGGATAGATGGATGGATGGATGGATTACAATGGAACTCCAGGCTAAGCACATAGCGCAGGTTTCAGCCTTCCCCACTACTGGCTATGTGACCCCTAGACCAAGCCCTGAGCCCCTCTAAGCTTCAGTTCTGTCATGGGCAACACAGGCTTAAAATGAACCCTACTACACTTGCTTCACTTGGATGTCATTAAAATCCTGCACAAGGGCTGGCATGGTCAGGGTCCTTATCGCCCTGCTATCCACCTAGAGTCTGAAAGAACTTCCAAGTACCCTCATGGACATATGTGGACTCCTGTGCTTCAGGTGTATTCAGTCAGGCTGTAGGTGCTAGATGGCCCAAACCCAAGGGAGTGGATGAATGGCTCCATGTTGGCACACAATGGTCTCTGGTGGTGCTCTATACCTGGCCTCACTCAAGCCTTGCCCAATATTTCTATGAACTTGCTGTGATGCAGACTATTCCTGATCACATCCTCCTTCAACCACCACAGTGTTGACAAGGCCTCCAAGACTACACTGTCTGTACCTTCCTGGGCACAACAGCTCTATAGCACCAGGGATAGCAAGGATAGGCTTTTATGTACAGATTTATGCTTAAACTCCAGTTCTGCCAGGTACTGACATTCCTCAACCTCTACGAACTTCTGTTTCCTCATCCTAGGAGGACTACCTTCTGATGTCATGGAGCCATTTAAAGTTCACAGTATAGGGTTGAACAGGTGGCAGCATCCTGGGAAGGTGGTCACAGTCATCACCATCATTACTTTTAGTTCTGGACACAATCTGTGCCCAGTTCATCCTGGGTCTCCTCCTGCTGCAGTTCTTGCATAGTGTATGAAAATGCACTAAACACCTACAAGCCCATGCACTAGACAAGAGCTGTGCAGAGCACACCTTAAGGATGTAGAAGGTGGGAGTGACGTGTAAAGATGAAAAAGGGTAAATTTAATGCTAATGGCATGACAAGTTCTGGCTTAGGGTAAAGAAAAGTCACTTGCCTCAGCATGGAATGGGTAATCTGTTCTAATATCATCTGGGCTACGGGAAGAACCCCTTTGGGCCAGTACAGACCCTCTTTGCTCAAATAACAGCACAGCACATTTCTTGAGCACTTTCTTGCTCTTGAGCAAAAGCATTTCTTGAGCTAGCTATGCCAGCTTCTAGATGCAGGATCTACATCTACTTATAACATAGCAATCGCTAAGCATTCCCCACGTGCCGAGCCCAGTGCTCAGCCCATAAGTACAGCCATGCATGAGCTTCAGCCTGGTCCTTGGAGGTAAATACTAGGTAGTCTCCATGTTTATAGATCAAAAAGGTTGGATCTGAGGTTTCAGGGGTTGCATCGTACCCAGAGCCACACAGTCAGAATTTACGGTAGGAGCCTGAGGAGTCTGATAACTTCAGCCAATGCTCATTTTGGCACCTGGAGGCACACCAGGCCAAAAGGAATGAAAGCTGAGCACCTGTCAGCTTACTAATCACCTGATCATAGGAGGGCACAGCAGGAACCAGTGGGGAGGGGCTGGCAGTCCCTACCGAGTGGCTCAAGGCCTGTAGGGCAGGTGCGTAGATCTGGACCTGAAGCAGTCAGTCCTGGAAGTGGGCAGGGCTGAGGGACAGGCCATCCAGGCAGAGTGAGGGCTGGTGGGGAGCGGCGAGTGCCAGAAGACCTAGGTCAGAGGAAGGTGAGGACAGATGTCCCCAGATGAAGCAGGAGAGGGCTAGGGTTGGTCCCCAGGTCACTAAGACAACAAGGAGCCTACAGAGGGTCACAATGGGGGGATTTGGGTGGTAACTGCCTTGCAGAAAGCCTCCCTTGGCCAGAGGGATAGATAGATCAGGAGCAGAGCCAGGCAGGAAATCATGAAAACAAAGCCATCCAGGTGCAAGATGATGGTCAGGGCTACAGGGCATGTGAGGAGGTAGCCCATCTCTAATCTGTCAGGTAGAGCAGAGTATAAGAAAGGAACCATGGAGACTTAGGCTAGGGAGGAGCACCTCTTGGTCCCAAAGTAGATGTGATCGTATCAGCCTTCTTGCCTTCTTCCCTCCCACCTACAGAAATGATTCCTGGCAGTCCCTAAAGGATCAGGCCACATACCTGGGTGCCTTTTACACACTGGCCTATCAGCAATTCACTCCACTGCCCCCCGGAAACTGCCACTTATCTTGCACAACTAGGCACACACCCTCCCACCCCAGCTCTCTGTGACACCCAGGTGTGGTTGGAGCTGCTCCTTCATCAGCTCCACGTGTACATGTGCCCTGACACCCACCATGTAACTGCTGAGCTGTCTGCAGACATGTCACCTCCTCCAACTGAGCCCAAAATCCAGCCCAGGATCAATCTAATGTGAGCACCAGTTGACAGGGTCCTGGGGTGGGTGAGGGATCAGTTTGGGCACTGGTTGGCTAAAGGGTGAACAGAAGATGACAGGCAGGGCAGCTGTGTGACCTTGGGCAGGTCATCTTACCCCTCCTTGCTTCACCGTCTATGAAACGGGGGGACTAATGGTGCCACTTCAGTGTGGTTATTGTATTAGACCCTGTGTCAAACTCACAGTAAGTGCTGAGCATAGTTTACTCTAGTGTGTGACAGGAGAGGCTGTGGTGGCTCTCTGCAGATGATGGACAGACCAGTGGGTAGGTCTATGGGTTGACAGGTACAACCAACCTGTGGGCAGGCAAGGGGGATGGCAAGTAGGGGATGTGACAGTGACTGAAGACTGATGAGGCACAGGGGGAAGGAGACTAAAGGTACAGCTTGAGAAATACTTGCCTCCAGTGGGTGGGGACAGTGAAGGTGAACAGGTGCAGCCTGAGAAAGGAGGGGAAAACAAGGTACTATTGCCCTAAAACCCTGATAAGTGTTTCACAGAGGGGGAAACAAAGAAACCAAAAACTAGCTGAGGTGGGTAAGAGAAGGGCTGTGCAACACTGAGAAGAATGCCCTGAAGGCCATCGGAGACCCTGGGAGGAGCAGTTTCAATTTTGGATGCAAAAAGAGCACATCTGCAGGCAGAGGAGCAGGTAGGAGACAGCAGACAGCAAGTTTAGGTGAGTTCTTTGGGGAAAAGTGGCCATGAAGGAGAGAGAAGGCAATACCAGGAAGAGTGGGGAAGGCAGGTTCTAGGGGAAGAACTTTACATGCACTCGGTTGTGAGGGAGCAGCCACGACAGGAAACAGCTGACCTGGGGACAGAGGCACTGGTGCCTAAGGGAGTGCATGGGAGGCGGTGGACAGGAAGTGATGGACAAGGCTGGGTGGAATCTCAAGGATCTCTTCCAGCAACATTATGTCTAGGTTGGGGGAATGACCTCAGGTACATTCACAAACAAATGAGATCCCAAGGCAGGGGCAAGGGAGAGGTGGGGCTTAGAAAGTAGAAACCTCAGTTGGGGGTGAGGAGAGGCAGGGTCCTCTGAGCCCAAATCCACCCAGCCAGCCCCAGCCCCACCCCTCCCAGCCCCATTCTGCTCCACAGCCCGGCCATACCTACAGACTTGGTCCGTGGAATCCCCTTCCGCAAGGAGCCGGGCAGCTTCTCTGGGCCGGCGAGACCCTGGCGCTCAAACAATGACTGGGGAGGTCAGGAGAGGGGATATGGAAGTTCCAGGGCACTGGGGACCCCAGTCTTTCTCCTAAGCTGAAGACCACCCCATGCACTCATTCCAATGGTGCTGGGTTGCCTGGACCAGGAACCAGATCCAGGCCCTGTCCTCAGGAGCAGGGATGCAGGCCATTGGGGCCTAGACCAGTGGGTTGGGCAGATAGTGGCACAGTGCAGGTGTAGCTGGCAGGGCGGAAGCAGACCCTGGGTATGGGCTGGGGGAGGGCACAGAAGATACCAGGTGGGGGAGTGGCAGGGGACAGAGACACACTGTGTCATCACCTCAGTCTATCTATGGGGGTCCTAGACATGATACAGAGCGTGCCTAAGGCCAAAGGCACAGCAAGCCACAGCCACAGGAGAGAATACAAGTACTGAACTGTGGCCCTTCTGGGGGCTGAGATGTCCCCAAGCATCCCTGAGAGAGGCTGTGGGTGCTTCACCCACCTCTGGAGAAGGAATCCAAATGACAGGCTCTCACCTCAGGAAAGAGGGGACGTGACATGTGAACCCCACGCCCGACTGTCCCGGTGCTCCCAGCTGCCCGTGGCTGGCTTACGCTTATCTCAGCAGGGGTGATCCTCCGACTGGTGGGCCGTTGTTTGACAGTGGCAGCTCTGGAGTCGGCGTCTGCAATGTCTGGCCTCAGCGTTGGCTCTGCAGCAGCTGCCAGGATTTCATCCAACTTCTCTGCACAGCCAAGAAGACCCCATCTCAGCCACCTGGACCTTTGTCTAGCCATATTGCTATGTCCTCCCCAGGCCTGCCCACACTAGGGCTGTGACAGAGGGCCCTCACTCCAGGGAGCCCTGTGGTCCCCACTCTGACTGACCATACTGAAAAGACCACGCAGGGGGCTCGGCGCCTGTGGCTCAACTGGCTAAGGCGCCAGCCACATGCACCTAAGGTGGCGGGTCGAATCCAGCCCGGACCCGCCAAACAACAATGACAGCTGCAACCAAAAAAAAAATGGCTGCGCGTTGTGGTGGGCGCCTGTGGTCCCAGCTACTTGGGAGGCTGAGGCAGGAGACTCGCTTGAGCCCAGGAGTTGAAGGTTGCTGTGAGCTGTAATGCCACGGCACTCTACCCAGGGGGACAGCTTGAGGCTCTGTCTCAAAAAAAAAAAAAAAAAAAGAAAGAAAAGAGACCAGTATGCAGAGACTATCTAGAGCCCAGTCTTCCTGAATTTCTATTTCCCTTGTCCTGTCCCTGTTCTGAGCACATGGCATATAACTTGCCTGTACCCCATGATGTCAGAAGGGACATTGCTCATGGAGGGACCACAGCTCTAGCACAGACCCTAATGGGCAAGAAGGTATCCATGAAACATGTCTGGAGGGCTATAAGAAATGACAATGAATGAACCAATGTACAGATGGATGGGGGACACTTTCAGAAAATAGAATTTGCTGCCCCCAAGCTAGGGACCTAAAAAAGTCTGATGCAAAACTACCCAAAGCAGGCCTACCCAGGGTGGGAGCTGCTGAGAGAAGAGGAGGAAATGGGGGACAGTACTGGGGGCACCCTCTTCACTGACAGGGTTTCTGCCAGCCCCTTAGAAAGCAGCTAGAGTCAGAAGAGGAGGATAAAAAGGACCCAACTGAGGCTCATGCCTGAACACAGCCCTCTCAGAGTGGGAACCAGGCAGGCCTCAGCAGCACTTTTTTTAACCCCATTACAAGAGAAAAGCTTTGTTTGCTTGTTTTCATTCAGGTAAAATTAATGTTTTTAGAAGTGGTATTTTATACTATCAAGGTGATTTGGAAACTTTGTTAAACTAGTGTAGTATCTGAGGACTGTCAGAGCTCTGACAGAATGACTCCCGCCTGCAATCAGTGAGTCACACTGAGGTCCACTCAGCTCTAACACAGCGCCTACTAAAGACCAGCACATGGGGCATGTAATAGGGCCCAGGGCAGCACCTGTGTCCCATGGCTACACACCAGCCCCACCACACGCCTGGCCATACTTGTCCTGGCATCCTTTACTCTCAAAGCTTCCCTGTTGGAAACCTCAATGGTCAGCCTGGACACCTGCTCCTTCCAACTCCAACCTGTTCACAGCACCTGGTCCTACCTCTGCAATCCACTTAGGGGAACCAAATGGACTTCCCAAGACTACCTGTACCCAACCTAGCCTGAAACTGACTGTCCTGACTTAACCTCCTTGTGATTGAGTGTCCTCAACTGATAAAACAGGCATAAAATAGCACACGTTTCACATGTCTCTAAAGAGAATCAGCACATAAGAAGGGCCTGCAAATGCACTGGCTGTGTAGGCACTAAGGATGTTTTCACACAAATCTGCCCCGTCTGTGCACATTGTCTCTCCAAACAACTTGTGGGTCCTTGAGAGAAGACGGCCAGTATGTTCTCTGTGGGCCGTCAGTGCCCAGCCTGTGCCCTGAGTAACACAGAAGTTCACCAGCAAAACACACTCCAACTATGGGACAGCCTGCTGGAGGCTCGCAGCGCCCCAGGTGACAGGGCCTGGATTGCTGCTTTTGTAATGACGTGAAGTTTCCTTTTGGAAGCCAAAGTCATCATCACCATCATTTGTTAAGTGCTTGGTGATTTCTAGAATGTAGAGGGCTGCATGGACCTCTCATCTCAACCCACAACAACTGGATGAAGATCCTGTGTCTGCTTCTTTTTACCCTTCAGAAAACTGAGCCTCAGAGAGAGAGAAACCATCCCAGATCACAGATAAGAGCGAGACCAGGCTCGGCACCTGTAGCTCAGTGGCTAGGACGTCAGTCACATACACTGGGGCTGGCAGGTTTGAACCCAGCCCGGGTGTGCCAAACAACAATGACAACTACACCAACAGAAAAAAAATAGCCAGGCATTATGGTGGGCACCTGTAGTACCAGCTACTTGGGAGTCTGAGGCAAGAGAATGGCTTAAGCCCAAGAGTCTGAGGTTGCTGTGAGCTGTGACACAACAGCACTCTACTGAGGGCAACATAGTGAGACTCTGTCTCAAAAAAAAAAAAAAAAAGAAAGAAAAGAGACCAGTATGCAGATTATAAGCTGATGATGGTGACATAACCCCCTCCCTCTAAATTAGAAAATACACTCCTACACTCAGCACCTATAGCTCAGCAGGTAGGGTGCCAGCCACATATACCCGAGCTGGCTGCCAAACAACAATGACAACTACAACCAAAAAATAAAAATAGCTGGATGCTGTGGCGGGCACCTGTAATCCCAGCTACTTGAGAGGCTGAGGCAAAAGAATCACTTAAGCCCAAGAGTTTGACGTTACTGTGAGCTGTGACGCCACAGCACTCTACCAAGGACGACAAACTGGGCTCAGCGCCTGTGGCTCAAGTGGCTAAGGCGCCAGCCATGTACACCCAAGGTGGCGGGTTCGAATCCAGCCCAGGCTGCCAAACAACAATGACGGCTGCAACCAAAAAATAGCCGGGCGTTGTGGCAGGCGCCTGTGGTCCCAGCTACTTGGGAGGCGGAGGCAGGAGACTCGCTTGAGCCCAGGAGTTGGAGGTTGCTGTGAGCTGAGATGCCACAGCACTCTACCCAGGGGGACAGCTTGAGGCTCCTGTCTCAAAAAAGAAAAAAAAAAGGACGACAAAGTGAGACTGTTTCAAAAAAAAAAAAAAAAGAAAGAAAGAAAGAAAATACACTCCTAAATAGATTATATTAGATTTTTAATAAAAGGAAGCCGATGACAAGGAGCTAGGTGGAACCTCCCACTCCCATCAGCCTCACACAGGGTCTGCCTGGGTATGCAACAGGACAGGGCTGGGTTTGCTGCCTGACAAGGGCTCATGCAGGGACAAGGCCTTTGGGGTGAGGTAGGGCACAGGCCTCACTGCTGCACCCTGGGAGCACCATGAAGGAGCTGGAGGACAGAACCAGAATATTCCAAAAATGGCCTGAGTCTGCCCCCAAAAGTGTCAAGACAGGATTCCTGAAGGAGACTGTCGCATGTTTCTAGTGCCTAAAAAGACACTGGGGATGCCCTTCACCTGGGCTGGGCCCATGGGCAGCAGAGGAGGGCAGGGCTTTAAGCAGAAGCAAGTGGGCCCAGGATCCATGGACGTATACCTGGCCCAGGGAAGGACCAGCAGATCTAGAGAGGCGGTGGGTGCCAGGCACAGGGCCAAGAAGACAAGACACACACCTAGAGCCATGAAGCCATCTCAGGCCCTGGTGACTCTGTCCCCACCTGAACATAGTGTCCCAGCAACTAGGCTGTACACCCAGAACATACATGGAGGAGCCTCAAAGGATACTAGGTAGAGGGGACTGAACAGTGGCTGAAGGGTGAAGCCAGAAGCCTGGAGGGTTGCTGGCCAGGGGAGCCCCACTCTTCCACCCAGTGTTATAGGACTCAGATCCTTGCTCTGAAGGGGCTGCCAGTCTGGGCTTGGCCCTGCAACCAATGAGCATGGGGATGGCACCCACAACCCAAGCACAGGGCACCAAGAAGGCGGGCAAAAAGAAGCAATGCAGGTCAGAGTTGAACACCTCAACATGGCCCAGTCATCCTCATCTCTTAAGCTCCAACCAAAGGGCCCTTGTACCCACCATGAACCAGCCTCCAGTGGGGGGTCTCCCAGCTCCTCCACTCCAGGCTGCCTCTGTAGCTCTCAGCCCCCTAGCTCACCTGAGTCCCTGGGCCACACTAAGTCTCCCCATCACATCCAGAAGGCCCACCCTGGGAATTTTGATCTGTCCTTCCCAGGTCCTTCTCTCATGACCCTACCAGATCCCCAGGGAGAAGCCAAACAGAAAGGTGCAGCCCAGGCTTACAGAACACCCTGATTTGAACTGGGACCACCTCGCACACCAGCAGGGACACACCAGGACAGCGGTCATGCAAAACTGGGGCCCTGGGGAATGCAAGCAGATGACTCACCCCCTTTTCTTCTCCGAATGGAGGCTTGGAATCAAGAAAATAGAGCACAAGGGTAAGAGGCAGGCTTCATCCCTCGGCACTGGTTCCATTCTCCACGATCATTTCTCCACCTCAACCCTCCCACCCCCTGTAACCAGGACCTTTCCAATCTACACCTGGCCTATACCTCTTTATCAGACCAGGAGTGGCAAACCTGTCAAATGCAGAGTTGGTTGGTACAAGGCTTGAAATTTAAGGAAGGAACAGCCACACCAGGAACACACACTTATATGTGCACAAACACACACATACGTAGACATGCACGCAAGTAGAGGCATGCACAGTTAAATCACACTTGGTTCTGCCAAATGCTTGTTCAGGAAAAAAGGCAAAACCCCATAAAAGTCAAATTCAGACGCCACTGAAAATGGAGGTGGTCACTCTTGATCACTCTGTACGGAGCAGGCTCTAAAGAAAAGCAGGGCAAGTGTGTCTGGCAGAGAAAACTTCTCCAGAACAAGGCCACTCATAGAGATACTGAGTGTGGCATCTACCCTAATGTTCTTGTCACAAAAGACAAAGGGACCCAGAAATTACAGGACAGTCCAGATTTCCCCTAGTAAATGAACAGGAAGGGCTTGGACCAGCCAGAGCCTCCCTGGCCTGGGTCTTCACTAAGCTCTGGCCCCACACATCCCTGGCTCAAGCTCAGCAGATGTGCACGTGGTGACAGTGAGCCCAATGCTGAAGGGAGTGGGCACTTGCCTCTCCTCTTGCTCCCATCATTTGTCTCAGGAAGAGGATGCAAACCCAACCCTTTCATTTCCT